TTCCTGGCTTTTAATCCCCTTTCTCCTGCTCTTCTGCCCTGCTGTTTTGTGCATCCCTGAGTTGTCCCTGGGGCTGACTGCTCCTCTGTCCGCGTTCCTAGCTTTTAATCCCCTTTCTCCTGCTCTTCCCACTTGCTACTTCGGGCATCCCTTTGTTGTCTCTCCTCACCTGTAACCCTGGGGCTAAGTACATTATAAAACCCAAATAAGTTATGAGTTGGCATAACAAGGTATGAAAAAAAAGATGCTCAGAAAAGCAAAAACTCCATGTCAGCACAATACTGAGGGTACATAATAATGAGGTTATGGAAATTCGGTATTGAAGAGGTAACCCTAGAAATTCAAATATATGAAATCAGTCTATAATTTAAGACTTTGCAAAGGATGAACCTGATTGAGCACATAGATGATTTATGATAAAGAGTCCCGAGTTTAGGACTAGTTCAACCCCCTACTGAGAATGCTTTTCCATCCGATTATACTGAATCAGAATCTACATTGTACAAGATCCCCATGTGTATGTAAGAATCGTGTTCCAAAAAGAACACGATAGAATGTTCTTTTAGAGACAGAAGTTAAAATTGGAAATTCTTTGTTCCTCCCCAAGTTATTTTTCCCCACTAGCATTTTTCACAAATACATAGTTGGAAAACCTCATTATCTCGGATTTGGTATTTAGTACTGATAAAAATGCACTGTTGTTGAGTCAGATCCAACTCACAGTGACCCCTTCTCCTTGGGTTTCCGAGGCGGTATCACTATGGAAATAGATTGCCCAACTTTCCTTCCAAGGAGTAGCTGGTGGGTAGAGAACTATTTAACACCCCAAACCCTAGGATCAGGAGCTCTGGTGGCATAGTGCCTAAGGCATCTGACAGCTATCTAGAAGGCTGGCGGTTCAAACCCACTAGCCACTCCTTGGAAGGAAGGTTGAGCAATCTACTTCTGTAGTGTTACCGCCTCAGAAACCCAAGGGGGGGTCGCTATGAGTTAGGTCCGACTCGACAGCACATAACAACCTCCACCACTTTAGGGTCACTAGCATCCATCTAACTACTGCTAACGGAAATTAACCAACCCTCAGTTACCTGAAGTACCCACTCCTATTTTTTCATTAATAGCAAAATGTGGCAATACAAATTTCCTACAAAATATTATGTGATATGAACTGCACTGCAAATGAAAAAATTATTTTTAGTTATACAGTCCAGAGGAAGAGAAAAAAGGTAAACAGAAGAGGTTCACAGACTAAAGGATCTCTCTAGGGACTGGAAAAAAAGACAAAAATGTACCACCCAAAATAAAGCAGACCCCTGAAAAGCAACTTCATGCACGATGTTTAGGAGTTTTAGATGCAAAAGAGGTTTATATATTTTTGCACTGTGGACAATGTTCATCATACAATCTTAAAATCCGTAACTAAAATCTCAATAAATCCAATGAAAATCATTCACACCACATTATGTAGACAAGTATGTTTAAAAAAATATTTTAATAAGCATATTCAGAATGGCAGAAAGGGAATGGGAGAAAGGAATTATTTTACAGTGCAAAATTACTATCCATAAATTTAAAAACATCTAGTTCATAATTTTAAATGTCTATTTAAATATTACTTCAAATATAAAGCTCAACAGACTTGTGTTGAAATGAGTTGCAGATTCTGAACTCTATTTGAAAACAGATCATGAAACAGAATTCCATTCCAAATGAAAATGATAGTAGTGCTTTGCTGGGGGGTAAGGGTGGGGTGAAGAAGACTAAATAACTATTAACAAAGGCTGCTTTTCCCAATGCAATTTGTCAAGAGTTATGACATGTACAAATCTTAAGCAAATTAAACTCATGATATTACTACAATTTTAAAGTAGTGCGATGACTTATCAAGTTACAGTGGCTGGATTACGAAGAACAAAATACTCTGTGAAATACCTGTATAAACACAAAAATACAACTGAATAGTTTTTATGAAAAGCTGAGCATTATGTATTATAGTAGTGGAATGTCTTTCTTAGGTATACTTTCAAAAAATAAAATACAGAAAAAATGAAATTTCCAAACATGTATACATGTGCCTTATTTGCAAACATGCCTGAGAATGGACTTGAAATGCTCCTGTAATATAAGTTTGCAAGAACTTCACAAACCAGCAAACAAAATGCATCTTTTAAAAGAGGTGAAAATGCTATCTCTAATATTGCAACAAAGCACAGCACCACCATTCTTTTGAAATATTTCTACAGACCACCTTTGATAAAGAGCTAGGATACTTTGGATTTTCAAAAAATCTGGTTTAGAAAATGAACTGTGACCATCTGCTAAAGCTACTGCCATTCTGGATAAATTAATATTTTAGGTAAACAAAACAAAAACAACAAAAAACTCAGGCTTGTCAACACTTCCATCCAGAACTCTGATGTGCTTGTTGTAAGTGAATGTACATTATATGAAGGGTTGTAAAGTGGCTTTTAACACTGTTTGGGGAAAAAGCTGTTCACATCAGTGAAGGGAAGCAGTTTGAACATATGTGAGTAATAATACTTCATGGGGATAAGGCCTAAACCATAATCTCTCAGTGCAAGCCTCTACTCAATTGTATTACACAGCTGAGCCTTAAAAACAGACCACAGAAGATTTTAAAAAGGTATTGGCTCTTGAACTGATGGCTGAAAATGAACTGAGAGAAGCATTTGGTGTGTGCCTATGTGATAAAAACAAGAACAGTAAACAGTCTTTTATAAAAGTTTGGATACAAGTTGGTCTATCAGCTGTATAAAACTACATTTTTTAACAAGAATTTTGCGCTAAAAATAAAATGGCACTCTTGCATTAGGCTACACTAATGGATAATCCTGTTTGTAATCATACAGAGCAATGGCTGCTGTGTAATTCTAATTATTTTAAATCCGTACTTAGAAAGATTTTAGATTTTCATTTTGGAAATACACCATCAATTTGAAAAATAGGATTGTAATGGAGAAATGTTTGAAAACTTTTCTAATCATCACTTTCTCCACATAAAATCATTATTGTTGTCTGCCAATGGTTACTCCTGTGTGCCAATATCTAAGTATCACCTGCTTGACCTGTTCCCCTTGGTTTATTTAATGCAAAAATGAGAAAATTTAAAATGTATATAAAAATAACTGAACAGAATTCTGGTCAGCATGATACATTTAAACACTTAAGCTGGCATTAAACTTCTGTCTTGTTTCAAAAATAACTTTGAAAATTATAGCAAATGCAAAAACAAACTCTGCAACATGCTCAAATTTCAGAATTCTCAAACTATTTTTCCTTAAGTAGAAATTTGAAAAAACAAATTTTCACAATTCTTTATGAATGCTTTTACCACCTGGATAAGAAACATGACTTAGTTACTACACAAACACTTAAAAATTCATTAGAAAAACCTTAGCAAAATAAAATGAAAGCTGACAGACTTAGAATATCAATTCCTCTCATAAAAGTTGACCAACTGTACAAGTTAAGAAAATTATACAAGCTTTTTGTATTAAGAAAGGACAGCTCAGTCAAGACATATGTACTGTAAAAATCTTTCAAAGGCTACAAAGAATCTGGAAAAATACAGAATGTATTTCTTAAGCCCAGATAAGAATATGGAAAGACATCATTGATGTCAACAATTTTACATATACAAACCTGACTTGGTTTATTTTTAAACTTCTATATATAAAAAAATCATGCTAGCATAACTTTCAGGATTCATAAGGGTTTCCCTTAATGATGACACTCAATTTGTTTGGAGAGAAAAAAAAAGTGTCTGTTAAAAGACCACATGACGAAACTCAGAAAAACTGGTGTTAAGCAGAAATTTGAACTTTAAGTACCTTTCCCCCTTCATCAAACTATGCAAAAAGTACCTTGCAGTGCAATTTTGAAATATGATTAACATCAAGTGCAAAGGTACACATACATTTTAATTTTAGTTCATTCAAATTTACTAAACTATTAATTAAATTCTTACAGGGTCTTTGACAGTTTTAAAGTAAAAAATCTGCAAAAGACAGATGAAATCTTACTTCCTAAGGTTAGGCTTAATTCTCAAATTTGAAAAAATTGCTTCAATAAAATTAACTCTTAAGGTAAACCCATCAACCCTGAAAATTTTAGTCACACCAGGATTTACTCCAAAGAAAGTAAAATTAGGTCTAAAATTTAGTCATCCATGTTTTCAATTTCTTCAAATTTTCCATGTGCAACTGCTTCTTGGAAAAATTCAGAAGAAGCTGGACTCTCTTTTCCATTACTGTTTACCCTTCGCCTTTTAGCAGGTCTCTCACTTTTGTCATCAAAATCATTTTCATTTCTTGCAGTCACATGGGCAAGTTTTGGGTCAGTGGTAAGGTTATCTGTTTCATAACCATTAGTGTCCATATCTGTGTGAAGTGGTTTCTTATTTCCACCAGTTGGTCCATTAACGTGTACTCCTTCAACTTTTACATCTTCTTTGTTTAGTATTTCACCTGGCCCATTAGATGACACTCCTAGCATGGAAAAGACACAGATGAAACTGACAAAAATATTAAATTTGTAAACTACTGTAAAATAGCTTTTCATCAAGGAAGTATCAAAATCAGTTTATACATACAGTATGAATTCTGGCTGTGTGGCCTAAGGCAGATTATTTATACTCTCTATACATTGCTTGGTTTCATCACACGTGAGGAAAACAGCCTTCGTTATTGTGAAGATTAAATAAGGTAATACAAATAACTAAGAACAAAATTTGGAATATGTTATGCATTTGATTCATGTTATTATTTGACAGCAAACACTGGATCCAGCAACCTAAATAAGATGAATTATTCAGACCTTAGCAAAAGGGCCATAACTTTCTAAAACCATGTAAAAACAAAATCAATGTTTTCCTCCCATAGAAGCTTTACTTTTCTACTGCCATAGAAAATCAAGACCCCACGACTTTTTTATTTTTAATGTGCACTTATGGATAATGTGCCTTAAGAGTAAAGATTACACATTTTTTTTCAAAGCACATTTAAATAATCTGTCATAATGTTAAAAATTAATGCTTTACTGTGCAAGCATCCAGTTGAAATGCTAAAACTAAGAACACAATTTCTTCTGTAATAGGTGAGAAAAGTAAGGACATAATTATTTTAGTGAAAGGGGAAAAAAACCCAAAAAGGTGCCATCAGAGTTGACCCCAAAATGAAACTGAATACAAATTTAAGGAGCACTGGTGGCACAACGGTCACATGCTTGGCTGCTGACCAAAACGTCTGTGCTTTGAACCCACCCAGCAGCTCTGCAAGATAGACCTGGCAACCTGCTTCCACAAAGATCAAAACCAGGAAAACCCCATGGAGCAGTTCTACTCCATCATATAGAGTCAACTCTAAGTTAAAATGGACTGGACAGCACCTGACAACAATGTAAAATACAGAATGAGCCACTGGAGATGATTAAAATTTAATTATCTAAAAAACACTCAGCATAAAAGATGAGCCCCAAACATTATATTTTGGTTAAAGAAAATATCTATTTTTCCTAATTCAAAAATGCTTTCACAAACCATTAATGTACATGAGGATCACTTATAATCTGACATTCAAGGAACAATTCTATGATAGTAGGCCCAAAAAGCTAAGTGAGATTGTGATTAGGTCAGGAATAACAAGAAGATAACCAGGCACAAATTAAAGCCACTTATAAATAAAATAAACGAATGTGGGTTGGAAGATTTCTTCCTTTCCTTGAAAACCTTGATGGTAGGATGCTGATGTGAATGGTTGGTTTCCAGGTTGCCGAGTAATTTACAGGTAACTTAAGAACACTCCCTTAGCCTTCCATCACATTATCAACAGTGGTTTAAGAAATAAAGGAACGATAAGAAAATGATTTAACCATTTATTTAGTGTTGTGACAAATAGGAAAAATCAAGTAGTACCAACACCCTCTAAGCTTCCACCTTTGGTCTCAGGGTCAGAATCTCGACATCTGGGTACTCTACTTCAGATGGATATGGCTGGCATTAGAAGTCATGTTAGTGAACCTTCCTAGACATGGAAATGGCTACTTCTGGGTCCTAATTTTTGTTGTACTTATTCTTACAGTGGAAGGAGCGAGGGAACAAAGAGCTCATCAAATGAACATAGTATACATATTCCAGCAGTGCCTGTTTGAAGCCAAAGGTCAGCTCTTTCATATTACTTTTCCAGTTTTTGTCAGGGGGATAAACACAGAATGCAGGTGCACATGGCTCATTCACCAGTTTCCTCCTGAAGAGGTATGGAGTTCTTATTATTTTCTGCTTGGCAAGTCTATTACTTAGGAAAGTCCTTTTAGTCAAAACAAAAATCAAAATAATTCTCTGCCTAGCTCTGCTGACCAGCACAGTGATCTCTGGTCCACTGTGTATTTTAAACAAGACCACTGTCTGAACCTCAAACATATCACTATGCCTTTTTCATGGAGAAAAATCATAGGAATATCTCTTATAGATATTTATAGGCTCACATCTGCTTTATTTTTCTCATTTACCAAGGTTATTATGCAGTCAAAAGAGAACTAAAATATTCAAGACAGTGTCCTTGTCATCTACTTCCCCTTATCTATATGTTTAAAGCACTTTGCTGAGAAAGTGTTATAATCTCTCAAGGTATTGCATAAATATTTTTTTTATTTTTGATGTGATATAGCTGGAGTCAGCATAAGAGTGTTAACATTCATATATCCAGGCATCCCATTCAAGTAAGAAAATATATGCTACTGAAAAAGACCAAATTTTTTTAAATGATCTCTGTTAACTGTGCCACACTTTTTTAAAGCTACTTTTTTAGTGATAAGACGCTGTTGGGCATAGTGGATAAGGAATTTGGCTGCTAACCAGAAGGTGAGTAGTTCAAACCCACGAGCTGCTCATGGAAGGAAAATGGAGCAATCTACTACTTCTGTACAGATTCACAGCCTTGGAAACCCAAAGGGGGACGCTAAGAGTTGGAATCAACTGATGGCAGTGAATTTGGTTTGGTTTTGAGTTTTTTTTTTTAAAGTGATATAAATGGGAATCCTTTCTAATTACTCTGTATTGTGTATGTGTTATTGTATATATATATGCTGATATCATGCATGTTTCATCTGGTATTTACAATTATTTACACTTCGGTTTTAGAAATTTAAAAGAAACCCAAATTGAATTTCCCAGGCTACTTAAAGAAAAGCACCCTTCATGTGGAAGAAACAGAAGTGTTTCTTTGGTTGCTTACCATTTTGATTACTATTGCTTATAGTGCCATCTTCTTTCTCAGACTGGCTGTTACTACTGTTTGAGGCAGTTGGAGGAGGCGATGGTGCTCGACTAGAAGCAGCACTTTCACTTTCATCTAGAAGACGATCCATGTAATCCCTTAAAATTAAGTCAAACGATAAAACAATTATTTTCCATATTTAAAAAGCTGAAAATTAAATTAATTGAGGTTAAATTTAAAAAGCTTTATTAACAAGTATATCCTAATTTTTCACTTACATTTCGCATCTATCACACCAAGATTCAAACATTTAAATGGAAAATTTCTTTTGGTCACATGTTGTTTTAAAAAAAAAAAATGCAAAAGGCTGGCATATTTCACAAACCTACACAAAATTTTCAGAGACAAGTGCTCATAGTGGTCCAAATAAAACTATGTCAGTGAAGAAACAGGTGATGTCATCAGAAGTACAAAAGAATGTTTGAAGAGACACAAATTGGAATTATAAAGACTACTTGATGACAATACCTAAAAGACAAATTGGGACATAATGAAAAAGGATGAATCACTTCCCTAAATTTGGATACCTTCAATATTACCTTTCTGTCACAATCTGAGCTATAATAAGCTCACTAATCTCCAGGCTTATCGTCTTGGCTTTATCCTGTCAGTATCTCATTATAAGTGAGCTTATTTCTTCCCCAAGTTATTCCTGTACTGTGTTATGTGAAGACAGTTGTGGTAAATGACACTGAGCTGGGGTGAAAAGATGTGGGTTTAATATCTGTTACTCTCAAGTTCAATGTCTTTCCTATAAAGCAAATAATCATACCCGTCATATCTACCTACTGGGTTGTTTTACTAAATATGTGTATGAAAGTGTTTTGTAAAATATAAAGTGTTAAGTCACTAGAATAAAAACCAGAACATGAGCTGGCCATCTGTTTTTATAAATATGTTTTATTGGAACACAGCCACACCCATTTGATTACTTATTATCTCCTGCAACAACAGAAGAGCTGAGTAATTTCAACTGATACCTTAGCCTACAAAGCCTACATATTATTTGCCAACTCCTATACTAGAATAAGGAGCTCTGGTGGCATAGTGCCTAAGGTATTTGACTGCTAACCAGAAGGCTAGCAGTTCAAACCCACCAGCCATTTCTCGGAAAGAAGGTTGGGCAATCTACTTCCTTAGTGATACTGCCTTGGAAACCAAAGGAGGGGTCGCTATGATCAGTTCCAACTTGATAGCAGTGTGTTTCATTTTCTTTTACACTAGAATAAAGGAGTTCTAGTGGTGCAGTGTTTAAGCACTCGGCTGCTAACTGAAAAGACCAGCAGTTTGAACTCACCAGCTGTTCTGTGGGAGAAAGAAAAGGTAGTTGGCTTCCATAAAAGCTGTAACTTTGGAAACCCTATGGGGCAGTTTTGGGAGCTCTGGTAGCATAGTGGCTAAGACACTTGCCTGCTAACCAGACAGCTGGCGGTTCAAACCCACCAGCCACTCCTCAGAAGGAAGGTTGGGCAATCCTACTTCCGTAGTGATACTGCCTCAGAAACCCAAGGAGGGGTCGCTATGAGTCAGGTTTGACTCGACGGCACATAACAACAACAACAACAACAATGGGGCAGTTTTACTCTGTCCTATAAGATCACTGTAACTTCTAACTCCAAAGCAATGGGAATGGAATACCCCTGGGTTATCATAAATATAAGGACAGGGTACTTGACCTCAAGAATTTCCAAGAGTCTGAGGTACAAAACTAATGAATATATAAAAAAAATTATGTAACAAATTGGGTAGTGCATATCAAACATAAAGAAACAGAAACGAGCCAAAAGGACTTCAGAAGCTAAGGCTAATGGGAAAAGCAGATACCCTATGGACAATTCTGGAGAATAAATTTGGAATGGTGAGAATGTATTACAGAGGGACTTGAAAGCCAGCCAAAGGAAGCTGGAGTTGATTATATAAAAAATAAAAATCACTACAAATTTCATTATTAATGATACCATGAAAGAAAGGAGCTCTGGTGGTGCAGTGGTTAAAGTATTCAGTAGCTAACCCAAAAGGTTGGCAGTTTGAACTCATCAGCTGTTCCACAAGAGAAAGATGATGAAGTAAGCTTCTGTAAAGATTTACAGCCTTGGAAACCCTATGAGGGCAGTTCTACTCTGTCCTGTAGGTTTGCTATGAGTTGGAACTTATTCAATGGCAGTGGGTTGGGTTTTTTTTTCCCCCAATCTTAAAAGAATGATTTTAAAAAATATATATATTGATTAATAGCATCAAGAAAGCTTAAAGAAGGAGAAAGACTTCAGCTGACCATCTAGAAGGCTGGGGCAACATTCCCTTGTGCTAATTTTTTATTTTTTTAAAGTTTTCATTATTTTTAATTATTTGGAAGAGTGAATTAGGTTACAAAGAAATCTCTAATATGCATATGGCTCCCAATTTTTCAAGGTAAGGAATAGGAAGAATCTGTAGAAAACTCTTACAGGTTATTTGTAGGAAGAAAAGTGGCAAATGTGCTTCATTCTGGTAAACAAATGGAAGGTAAGATAAAAATGAATATAACTTTTAGCATAATCTACTCAGAACTAATGATTTTGCCCTAAAAAGGAGGATAAGAAAATTCACTCATATTTTTCTCTAAAGGGATTAACTTAATGTTTTGTGCAGTCACTTAAAGTGTAGCTATAAGCAGGAAGAGAAGGCTCTAGATGAAAACCAGAAAAGTATTTCCATGCTTACAGAAAATCACAATTCCTCCCCATCTGGAAAAAAAGGTATAGTCTCTTCTTGCTGCTGCTTATATAAGACAAAAAGCTCAAAAGGTAACATCTGAGTAAAAAAAATTATATACTATTTTCAGTTTGGGAGCCCTGGTAACATAGTGTCTAAGGCACTTGACTGCTAACCAGAAGGCTGACGGTTCCAACCCACCAGCCACTCCTCGGAAGGAAGGTTGGGCAATCTACTTCCGTAGTGATACTGCCTCGGAAACCCAAGGAGGGGTTGCTATGAGTCGGGTCCAACTTGACAGCACATAACAACAACAACAATATCATTTTCAGTTTAAAAACTTTATAAAAGATCCAGAAAGGATATAACAGAAGCCTACAAAACCATGATATATTCTTGCCTGGGGGGGAAAAAAAAACCTAACATTTTCTCAATGCATACCATTATAAACGGAGATCACTGTTAACTCTTAATACCTAAGAGAAGATACAGGATTAATTTTAAGGGTGGCTACTCCATGTACAAAATACTTAACCGTAATAAAAAATCTACATTATAGATAAAGTGTCTTCAAAAACTTTTCACAAGATATGGAGATTATTAGAGAAACTAGAATGTTTGGCAGCACATCCCTACCTAACCTGTTGCGCTTGACATCACAGAGGACCAACTAAGCCAGCCCACAACACTTCCCTTGGTGACGCTTTCTGAAAGAGAAAACTGGATGAACCATGGGTCTGACCCAGCATGGCAATTCTTATTTCTTATTGTTGATGATGACAGATTGACTGTAGTTCGTGTGTGAACATTATTTCTGAAATGAGTGAAAAAAATGAAAGATGTTACTACTGCTTTCCCCTATAGAATAGCTTGAAAACCGTGACTATTTTAAGATATAGTCTCCAGACTGGATAGCTATATATTCAATTCTACATCATTATGTCCGTTTTTTTCCCCTCACCATGTCTTAACGCTACTGATAATGCAGAAAAAATTATAAAGGGAATGACATTAAGCAATCAGATAAAATCTGAAATTCTGCTATACAGGAAATTAGCCATCAAGGACTTTGAACAATGGCACAAGAAGCACACAGTCCACTGTCCTATGTTTTCTAGGGACAACAATATCCATTTATTCCCCATTATATTATTTTGCTTAGAGTTTACAATGTTTGATCCTCCAGGAAAGTGACCAGCAGAGACTCCTGTAAATGAACATGACCAAGTAATACTCTAACCCAGGAGTTTGGAAAACACAATCAAATATGCATACAAGCACAATGACCAAATCAACTTATTTTTATTCTGCAAACAATAAGAGGTAATCAAGGATAGTATAGTAATTCTACCATAACAATAATTCATCAGCATTTCCAAACAACTCATGTGAGACAAAGAACTCACTACTTTATTTGTTTATAGTAACAAATTATTATGGGGGAAGTGTTTTAATCCAAAGCTAGACATAATGAGGCTAAGAGAATTTGGTATACAGAGAACAGATTAGGTATACAAGGACTTTTGCATAAATACTGGATATCATAAGAACCCATACCTATATCACTGGGAGTAAGTTAAAGCTGCATCACTAATTATTGAGTATTACTTCTGTACAGGAAGTTTCAGGAAATCTGGGAAAAGGGAAGTCACTATGTACCTTTCTGCTCTAAAAAGCTTACAACCAAAAAAGAAAATACAATTTGACCTGACTTCTTATATATCTATGCCTTTTTCCGTTTATATCATCTACATCCCAATTCTGATTGAAGGATCAAAAGTAGATTGGACAAGTAAAAATGTTAATTTCCCCTCCTTTTTAGAGAAGTCCCTATTGGGCATATGGCCCGATTGCTTTAGAAAAGACATTCTCTCCTTTCCTCTTTTAACCACTCTCAAAATGTCATAAAATTGGTATATGGTTATGCTAAGTGGAATAACAAAACAACACATTCATAGCAGCTCTCGCTCCATTTCTTCTCAGGGCTATCTGCTCAACATATATACTCCAATTCTTGGTTTAATCGTATCTTTGTTGTCTCAAATAATATGAACTGTGGTTTATGATGCTTTGATAAGACTATATAAAAGTCCAAATAATCTGTGAAATGTAGATATATCAAAATGATAAATTTTTATGAATGTAAATGCTTATTTAAGAAGCAAAACTCTAAAACTCTTAATTTTTTAAAAAATCTAGGAAAGGTTTTTAACAAATATAGCTCTAAGAGAAAATATAAACTCACGTTACACCAGGATGAAGATTATATTTCTTTTTTCCAAATCGTGTTTGCTGAGCAAAGAAATCGTAACGTTCAGATTTTTTCCACATGTAATAGAATGCTACACATTCACCAACTGACCGTGTTCGGACCTATAAGAAACAAATACGTGCTTTTAAGAATCATTTTTCTCTTAAAGGAATTACTCCATGAGAAACATCTAAACATTAAAAACAAATTTACAGTTTGTTCTTAACAGATATATAATGTTGCTCTTAGATGCTCAGATGTTGATTATGACTCACAGTGACCCTACCCTGTATGACAAAACAGATTATCCCACAGGGTTTTTTTCTAGGCTGTAATCTTTACAGGAGAAGATCACCAGGTCTTTTCTCTTGTGCAGCTGCTGGATAGGTTTCAACCACCAATCTGTTTTTTTTTAGCAGCTGAGCACCTAACCCATTGGGCCACCCTGGCTCCTTAGTATAAAATATAATGTTATGAAATGCCACCAGCTGTGTTGAAAGCTATTTCTTCTAAACTCTCATTAAGAGAAAGACAATGGCAATATGACCTCACATATTCAGCATTTTGCTTTTTAAGAGGCTACCATCATCCTAATCTACCATAAAAATAAATACTTCCTGTGGTAGTTAAGGTTGTGTGTCAACTTGGCTGGACCTGGTTGAGCGGCTGGGCAGCTGGTGGTAGTTATTCCCCATGATGAGACTGGCAATCAAATCCAGGGTGGGATCTACCACAAGCAGCTTAATAGCTGCTTTAGGACTGCAATTTGCTTCCCATATATAAGCAGCAGCTTTGGGAATGGTTTCCAGCTTATGGCATGCTTGAACCCTGCATGTAGCCGTGTCGTTGTTCAGCAGCCTACTATGCTCCGCCGACCTTGGGACTTTCAATGGACTTAACTTAATGGCCTACCGCGTTGTTTGGTAACATCAGGACTGTGGTTTTTTACTTGTTGACCTTGGGCTTATCAGTCTCAGCAGCCAGCAGCTGTTTGAATGAAGAAAATCCTCTAAGCCTCTAGTGTTAATGGGCCGGGAGCAGGAGGCAGAGCTGAAGCCCAAGGTTGAGGGGCTTTCACCCAGCCCCTAGAGCCTGAAACTTGGAACTCAGACTTCTAGCCTCCAAAAATTTTAAGAATGAAGTCCTGTTTGTTAAAGCCATCCCATTTGTGGTATATACTCCTGTCAGTGGCACTAGGTAACCAAAACACTCCCCTATTGAGTATGTCTGGAAGAGGCATTTAGGTTAAAATTAGTGTGATAAACAAATACTTTTACTCAGAGAACCTAGAAAGGTCTACCTTAAAAATCCAATTCTAAAGATTATCTTACTAGTGTTAATAAGAATCCAGACTCATTTATCTTACTTTCAAGAAAGGCTAAGAATATTCCACAGTGATATAAAAGCTATTCTACTAATATTATATTATAACATAATATTATATAATAATGTTATAATGGGAGCTCTCATGACATAGTGCCTAAGGCATTTGACTGCCAACCAAAAGGCTGGTGGTGCAAACTCACCAGCCACTCCTTGGAAGGAAGACTGGGCAATCTATTTCCATAGAGATACCGCCTCGGAAAACCAAGGAGTGGTCACTAAGAGTCAGAACCGACTCGACGGCAGTGAATGTTATAGTAATATTTTTATATAATAATAATAATGCCCTGAAATATAATATTATCAGTGATAGGATAATACCCATAACCCTACAAGGAAGACCAGTTAATACTACTATTATGCAAATTTATGAGACAACCACTAAAGCTAAAGATGAAGAAATTGAGGATTTATAGCAACTTCTGCAGTCTGAAACTCACCAAACATGCAATCAAGATGTACTGATAATTCTTGGTGATTGGAATGTTAAAGTTGGAAACAAAGAAGAATCATCAGTAGCTAAAAAATACGCCCTTCATGATAGAAATGACCAGGGGTCACATGACAGAATTTTGTAAGACCAAAGACTTTTTCATTGCAAATACCTTTTTCAACAACATAAATGGCGACTATATACATGGACCTCACAAAATGGCAAACACAGGAATCAAATTGACTACATATGTAGAGTAGCTAAAGTGAATGGAAGAAAGAAATGAAAAAGCTGAACAGAAGATTTCAAAGGGCAGCTCCAGAAGACATAGTCAAGTATTATAATGATTTGTGCAAAGACCAGGAGTTAGAAAACCAAATAGAAGAACACACTTGGCATTTCTCAAGCCTAAAGAATTGAAGAAAAAATTCAAGCCTTGAGTTACAATGTTGAAGGATTCTATGGGCAAAATATTGAATGGTACAGGATACATCCAAAGAAGATGGGAAGAACACCGAGAGTCACTGTACCAAAAAGAACTGGTCAACGTCCAACTATTTCAGGAGGTGTCATATGATCAAGAACCAATGGTACTGAAGGAAGAAGTCAAAGCTGCACTGAAGGAAATGGCGAAAAACAAGGATCCAGGAATTGACAGAATTCCCACTGAGATGTTTCAACAAATGGATGCTGTGCTGGAAGCACTCACTTGTGTATGCCAAGAAATGTGAAAGACAGCTAGCTACCTTGCCAACTGACTGGAAGAGATCCACAATTGTGTCCACTCCAAAGAAAGGTGATCCAAAAGAATGTGCAAATTACCAAACAATATCATTAATATCACACGCAAGTAAAATCTTGGTGAAGATAATTAAAAAATGGTTGCAGGAGTATACTGACAGGAAACTTCCAGAACTGCAAGCTGGATTCAGAAGAGGATATGAAATGACAACCATCATTGCTAATTTCAGAGGGATCTTAGCTGAAAGCAAATACCAGGAGGATGTCTGTGTTTTATTGACTATGCAGAGGCATTCAACTGTGTTGATCGTAACAAATTATGGATAACATTGTAAAGAATGAGAATTCCAGAACACTTGATTATGCTCACGTGGAACCTGTACATAGACTAGGAGGCTGTCATTCGAACAAAACAAGAGGATATAATGGTTTCAAATCAAGAAGGGAGTATGTCACGCTTCTATCCTTTCACCATACTTATTAAATCTGAATGCTGAATAAATAATCCAAGAAGCTGGACTATATGAAGAAGAGAGTGGCCTCAGGACTGGAGGAAGACTCATTAACAACCTGTGATATGCAGACGTCACAACTTTGCTTGCTGAAAGTGAGGCATTTACTGATGAGGATCAAAGACTACATTCTTCAGTATGGATTGTATCTCAACATAAAACAAAAGTCCTCACAACTGGACCATTAAGTGACATCATGATAAAGGGAGAAAAAACTGAAGTTGTCAGGGATTTCCTTTTACTTGGATCCCTAGTCAACATCCATGGAAGCAGAAGTCAAGAAATCAGATGTTGTACTGCACTGGGCAAATCTGCTGCAAAAGATCTCTTTAAAGTGTTGAAGAGCAAAGATGTCACCACTTTGAAGAGTAAGGTGAGCATGATCCAAGCCATGGTATTTTCAAATGCCTCATATGCATATAAAAGCTGGACAATGAATAAGGGAAGACCAAAAAAGAACTGACTGAACTGTAGTGCTAGCCAAGAATACTTAAAATACCATGGACTTCTAGAAGAATGAACAAATCTATCCTGGTTGAAATAAAACTGGAATGCTCCTTGGAAGAGAGAATGGCCAGACTTTACCTCACCTCCTTGGTTATATTATGAGAATGGACCATGGAGAAGGATATCATGCTTGGTAAAGTAAGGGTCAGCAAAGAAGAGGAAGACCCTTAATGAGATGGATTGACACAGTGGCTGCAATGATAGGCTCAAGCATAACAAGGATTGTAAGGATGGTGCAGTATTGTTTTGTTCTGTTGTATATAGGGTCACTATGAGTTGAAGCTAATTCAACAGTACCTAACAACAACACTGTTTACTAAGTTATTCCTGCAGCTTACTGTGTTGTACTGTTTGTGCAACTAAATGCCACTCCTCACATAATGTTCAATATTTATGGGATCAGCAAATGATGTTGACAGAATCCCCCTTTTCAATACTTTATTTGAAGAGGTGGAATGGTTGATGTGTATAAATGAAGTACTGTTTTTGTTGTTATGTGCCATCCAGTCGGACCCGACTCATAGTAACCCCTCCTTGGGTTTCCGAGGTGGTATCACTACAGAAGTAGATTGTCCAACCTTCCTTCCGAGGAGTGGCTAGTGGTTTGGAACCACCAGCCTTCTTGTTAGCAGTCAAGTGCCTTAGGCACTATATGCTGTCAGAGCTCCTAAAGTACTAAGCACTTGAAAAGGAAAAAAAGAAAAAGTATCTGCATGAGCATTTGGGATGCAAGATGACAGTGTTTTGGTCCAGATTTTTGTTCTTGTAGTAGGCATCCTATGGCACAGACTATACTTAAGGACAATTGTTGACACCTGTCTTTCCATAGTATGTACTTTTCTTCCTTCCTCTCCACTCATTCTTTACTACTAAGCCCCATGTTGCTCTGAGACTGAGAGCAATTAGAGCTTTAAAATAAAATTCTACTCTCAAGTTCTGACAATTCCATCTTTCTGCCTCTTACAAAAACATTACTATATAGATTCTCTCTACATAGATTCTTCCAAGGCAACTGTACTTTACTGAAAGCAATAAAGGGGAGGTGGGTAGGGAGGAGGACATATTTTGTGACACAACTAACCATATTATGACAAATTCTCAATAAAATAAAGTCTTCATGCTTTCAGTGGGCCATTCTTCTCACCTTAAAGAACTACTATCCTCAAGGAGGTCTGGTAGCATAGTGCCTAAGGCACTTGACTGCTAACAAGAAGGCTGGCGGTTCAAACCCACCAGCCACTCCTCAGAAGGAAGATGGGGCAATCTACTTCCGTAGTGATACTGCCTCAAAACCCAAGGAGGGGTCGCTATGAGTTGGGTCCGATTCGATGGTATATAACAACAACAACAACAACATCCTCATGAGAACCTCACCCTACATGACCCTGAGACTAAAAGAACTAGATGGTGTCCAGCTTAAGATCAACCACACGGAAAGAGATCAATATTGGAGATCCTGGATAGAGTGGGAGAAAAATGTGAACAAAACTCAAAATCATAAAAAAGACTAGGTTTACTGGTCTGATAGAGACTTGTTAAACTTGTGAGACTATGGCCCCCCAAGTCACCCTTTGGGCCTGGAATTGAACTCACTTCTGTAGCTTAACACTCAGCCAAAACAGATGGACTTATGAGCTCACTACCTATTGGGTGCTCTCAGTCTGTCTGTGCATGTGATGTGGTAAGTCCCCCTTCGCCACCTGCAGGGATTCAGGGTGGTCAGGTGTTGCCTGTCACCCATCTTGGGACTCTGCTCATCCTCCATCTACCCTGGCCCCGCACAGCTCCCTTTCCTTTTGACCCCACTGACTTCTCCAGTAACTTCAGGCCCTTTCCTGGTTTCTCCTTGCCTATCTGTGCCCTCACATCATCCTAACAGCAACCCATGCCCTCTGAAGCCAGACCATGATATCTCAAATAGGAGAAGGCACTCCGCAGCCTTTGGTCCACCATCCCTTGTGTGGCTCTGCTGTCACTGGAGCCTACAGAGGGTACCCAGGGCAGGCCACAGCCCCAGAGCTACTGGAGATACTGCCTGGGAATTTCTTCAAAGTTGTTATAAATGTGAAACGTCAGATAAAAGACAGGTAAGTAAGGAGTAGGTATAAAGTAATCCAGTTCTTAAAAACTTCCAATATTAAGTGTTGAAAACAATCACTTGGCAAATTTATGCCAGGAAGTATAAGCATGATTATAGTTATTTTCTAAATACCGAAATATAAAATATTCATTATTGAACCCTTAACACTTGCAAATGTAACAAATTAAGACAATGACGATTTGAGTTGTTAAAACTAATTTTTTTTTGTAATAACAGGAATATATATAATTACTTACTTTATTAGCCTGAATCAAATGAAAATCCTTTCCATAGGCCTTCAACCCTTGCTCAAAATTTCTACACTCCTCCTCTGTCCAAACCGATAATTCCTCTGACAAAATGGGGAGAAAAAAGCACTTAGCAATATTTTCCCAAATGCCACATATAACAAAATTTCAAATAACTATGTAATCATCTGGTAAAAATGAGGTAAGATTTCACTCCCAAGTTCCATTACTGTGAAAGATATAGTGACTAATATTCATGAGTCAATAAAATTTTAAATTACCTGGTCCTATTAGTCCAGCCTTAACTTCAGCCATATTCTCCCTTTATTTTTCATGACCCAAGTATAGCATCTAGCCGCCTTTCAATTCTTGCTACACTCTTCTTTCTGTGCATGCTGTTCCCACTGCCTAAAATTAGTTCCTGTCTCACTCCAACCCCTCTTCATTAGCTAATTCCTTTAAGTCCCTGAAAAACTTAATGGCATCCTCTAATTCTCCTTGGAATAATGCATCATAACTATTTCTCAATTCCCTACTTAGGTTCCAAGCATCATGATGGATCTTTGTTTACAGTTATAGCCTCAGAACTTAGGAGATATTCAAGTATTTGTTGAATGAATAAGTAAATACTTCTCATTTGCTATTTAATTACATATTGACAGTACTCTTACTAAAAGAGGTTGGGAAGCCAAGAAGAAAGTAAAAAAATAGCTAGATTTTAATTGTTATAGTTGTTATGTGCCGCTGAATCGGACCTGACTCATAGCGACCCCTCCTTAGGTTTCCGAGGCAGTATCACTACGGAAGTAGACTGCCCCATCTTTCTTCCGAGGAGTGGCTGGTGGGTTTGAACCGCCAGCCTTCTGGTTAGCAGTCAAGTGCGTTAGCCACTATGCTACCAGAGCTCCCAGATTTTAATTATGGCTTCATTATTTATGAATTATGTTTACTTCAGACAAGTTATTTCTCTGAACCCTCAGGCTCATGAATTTTAAGGTGAAATAACACATCTGTAATACTCCTTAGCTCATAGGGCAAGATCAAATAAGATATTTATAAAAATGCCTTGAAACTGTAAAGCTTTACAGAAGAGGAAGGACAGTCAAGAACTAGAGGAGGAATATATATCTAACTTCCTTCATGAACAACTACTTCCTTTGACATGAGATCAAAGAAATGGCTGGTGCTTGGCTACCACTATTGAATGTTTTGACCAATGATTCTATAGAACAATCTTGATCAAATGGGAGAATACAGAACAGAATTTCAAATTCTCATGCAATCTAGGTTTTCTGAAGCCACTGAGGCTGGATGAACCCCTGAAACTAACTGCCCTGAGTAAATCTTTAAACCTTAAACAGAAACTGTCCCCAAAGTCATCTTTAAAGCAAATAATAGTTTAGTTTAATTAGTTAAGAATGTTTGCCTTGAATATTGTGTTATTTTAAGGAATTTATATGTGATCAAACTGACAGCAACCTGAAAGAAAGATTAGATGAGAAGCTTATAGGGAAGTGAATTTATGTTAATGGTGGTGAAATAACTTGGAGTAGGTTATCAAGAAAGGTGGTACAACTTGAAGAATGTAACCAATGTCGCTAAACAGAAGTCATTGAACTGGTGTATGTTTTTGCATGTATTTTCACACACACACAAAATAAAAATCCTAAGTCCAGCAGAAAGAAAAGAAAAATAGAGCATTATGTATTTTTATTTACATGGCCTAATTTTCCTGTTTACAAGTAAGAAATGACTTGATGACACCTAGTAACAACAACAACATTTTCCTATTAAAATTTGAGAAGGGGCAACTGTAATCCCATTCCCCATATGTATAATACTTAATAATCATCAAATATTTACTGAATTCAGAAAGATTAGTATTATTAAGCTAAGGATATAGCTAGCTAGATTAGAGCTTAAGTTTTAAAAACTTCTGCTATATCATGAAACAAATAGAAACACTTATTTAATATTTATCCTTACCTCTAGCTGCTTTTACATTAAATCTTAATCTTCTCAATGCTTCTTCTGTATCAAAATTACATTTAACCAATTCATATAAAGCCTAGAAAAATAAAAGGTGCCATTGTATGATCTGGACTCTCAATAGTTTAATACCATTATTTGTCTAGTAAAGGCTTTTCCAGAATCCAGTACTTCTTTTCATCTTTTCCAGAGGACAAATCATTCTAGTCAACATAGCATATAGAACACCAAGGAAAAACAAACATAAATTCAATTCTGATAATTAACTGTACAAATTGGAATAAAGAAATACCTTAGTGGTTGTAATAGCTCAGTTATATCCTTTCACAGAATGATAATCCCTTCATTGTGGCTATTCATTGGCTTCTACTCTACAATAATTTTAAACAAATCAGAAAACATTGATAAAAAAGCTAAAAGAGACATAATGCTGATACTAGACACATAGTAGGCACTGGTCAACTTGATTCACAATAACATTATCCTAGTTGAGTATTCTCAACTTGATCATGGCCACAGATTCTCAGGAATATCCAAAGGAATTTCAACCAAATTATTAAAAAGTACATACAGGCAAAAAATGTAAAATCAAAGTTACTTTTATTGGTTTTGAGCTAAAATCATCCCAATGAAGTGAGTGTGGTAACACTGAATTAGTTATGCTGATCATAAACTATGTCCCTGTTGATGACATCACAGGAATTTCAGTGGATAAAATAGTAACAATGAAAGAGATAGCATTCCATTTATAAACATGTATAGTTATTTTGGAACAATTCTAAGATAGTTTTTATTCACTTACCTGTTCATTGTCTTTTATATGAGATCCTTCGGGAATCGCTTCTACACCTTTCTCATCACCTGTTCTTCTAGATGCATCTTTAAGAAATGCAATCACTTTATCTTCTGGTAAATACTCAGGGTCCCACAAGAGCTGATCATCATTTTCATATACTAAATAAGTAAAACACAGCATTTAAAAAATTGCCAAAACTTACATACTTTGTGTTTAAACAAACATAACAAAGTACGTAACAACTCACACTTGGAATCAAATGTTGAAAAATGAGAGGTAAAGTGTGGTCCTACTACTTGCCTGACTTACTTCGTGGACAGCATTTATAGCTTAAGTAAATTAAGCAACTAAACAAAGATGGGCCTACTACTTTATAGTCCCCTTTGGATCCAATCTGATTTGAGCTTATGGAATTCCAAGGTCTTTTGGCTTGAATATATTACCTCCACTATTTACTACCTATATGATGTTGGGCAAGTTATTTCACTTCTTTCTGCCTCATCTATCATCTATAAAATGGAATAAAAATAATTCTGCCACATGAGTTGTAAGTATTTAAAGCACCTTAAAGCAGAAACTATACTAGAGAAGAATGAGGAGTAAATAGAAGGTCAAAAAAATAAAGTAGAAAACTCTTTTGAACAATTTGGTGTGGAGAAGAGATAGTACAGTAGAGCTAGAAAGGAAGTAGAGTGGAAAAAAGATTTTGTTTTTGTCTTTAAAGATGGAAGGTATAAGTATTTATGCCAGTGGGATGGAGCCAATTTGAGAAAGACATTAAGTTTAAAAGACAAAGGACAACTGATAGTGTCAAGATTCCTTGTATTATGAAAAGGGATCAATAGCTAATTAAGGCTCTCCTATATACCAGACAGGAAGAAGTGCTGCCAGAATGCTCCTTGGAAGCAAGAATGGCTAGACTTTTTGGTCATGTTGTCAGAAGGGACCATTCTTTGGAGAAGGATATCATGCTTGGTAAAGTGGAGGGTCAGCGGAAAAGGGGAAGACTCTCAACGTGATGGATTCACACAGTGGCTGCAATGATGGGCTTAAATACAGCAAGGGTTCTGAGGATGGTGCAGGATCAGATAGTGTTTTATTCTGTTGCACAAAGAGTCACTATAAGTAGCTGACTTGATGGAACCTAACAATAACCAAGGAGGGGTCGCTATGAGTCGGGTCCGATTCAACGGCACATAACAACAACAACAACAACAAGTACCAGGCACCACATTTTAAGTGTTTTCACATATATTACCTTGTCCTTTCCCCAACAAAATACACTTCAAAAACTTCTTCCATGTTCCAAGGAACAATCCATCTTCTTCTGTTTCCCAAACTAAGTGCAGTTCACAGGAGGATAACCTCTAGAAAATTTTTCCTTTGGAAGCTCTGGTGGCGTCCTTTCCCAACATTCTGGTCAAATTCTATTGAAACTCCTAAAACCCCTATAGTATAAAGTAAAGGATATACTGCCACTGATTTCTGTTGTCTGCTCAACCTCTGCTCATTGAAGGGAGCAGACTACAGTTTTTATATTCTCGGTGTGGGAGGTAGACAGGGCATATAAGGAAAACTCAGGAAGGAAGAAGCAGAGTGTGGATCCCGGAGACCCCAGTACTGTCCCAGTTAAATACTCATATTGGGCCTGTAAGACAAGCACAAATTACCTAGGAGATATTTCTGGGATAATTGCCATTGTTTTAGAAGTTCCTGGCAGCCAGGATACAGAAATCTCTCTAAGCTGAATAGACAACCATTATCAAATGGCACCAATGACAAGGCAGATCCCCTCAAACTGTGGCCAGCTTGGAGAATAAAAGCTCACTGCCATTGAGTCGGTCCTGACGCACAGAGACCCCTCCTCCTTTGGTTTCTGAGGTGGTGTCTCTACAGAAGTAGATTGCCTAGTCTTCCTTCCAAGGAGTGGCTGGTAGGTTTGAACCTCCAGCCTTCTGGTTAGCAGTCAAGTGCCTCAGGCACTATGCCAGAATGCTTAATAAAGTACAGGATCAGCAAAGAAAGAGGAAAACCCTCAATGATATGGATTAACACAATGGCTGCAACAATGGGCTCAGGCATAGCAATGACTGTGAAGATGGCACCAGACCAGGCAGTGTTTGGTTCTGTTGTACATGGGATCTATATGAGTCAGAATAGACTCCATGGTACATAACAAGAAGAAGCCAGGTAGGCTAGTCTTTATTATTTCATTAACCTCAGAGTAATGTCACAGTTTTATACAATTACAATACACTCAATAAAGACCATGCAGTAAAAACAACTAGGATTGCCACAGGTAATATACCACACATGGCCTTTATTGGTTCCAGAAACAAACCAAATTATTTTGCAGTTAAGAATACACTCCAAATAAAATATGTATCTTTTGACTATGATTTATATAAAATACACAGTATGGTTGTTTTTAATTAAATGGCTGTGTAGAATGACTAAGATGCCAAGTAGATGAGAAATTTAATAAACGACCTATTATGATAAACACTGAAAAAGGAGAAATAGCTTATATTACAACATGAAGGAAAAAAAATTCATAATAGAAATAGAAAACAAAGAACTTTTGTAATTATATTAAGTGACATAAACTTGCTTGATTCTGAAAGATCACAATCAATGAGATATAATGGATCTTCTGAAACTACTTGTAAATATTAAAACTTGTAAAAATCTGATAAGTATAGCCATCATCGATCACTGGAAGACAAATTATGCTTGTCAGCAAAATGAGTTGTCTAAATAATTTAACAAAGTTCATTGTGTGACTGGGTCATGAAGGAAGAATGACCTTGGAGAGAAAAAAACTTGATGTAGAAAGCTGAGCAGCCACCATCACAACAAAACCATAAAAAGACCTCTCTAATTGGGTAAATTCCTAATAAAGAAAAGTCTACTAATTACCAGTTTTAACAAAAGTAATAGTTATTCCATTTTTAGTACCTAAAGAAAAATTCTTTTGGATCAATGTATCATAAGGATGAAAATGCAATCAATAATTAGCATTATTATGGTGTGATTTAAGAGGTTTACAAAAAAAAACCTTCACATTCTTAAAAGATCACAGTGTGTTAACAGTACCATTTATTATCAACTAAGCGTTCTGCATTTGTCCATTTCTCAGTAAATAACCTAAAAATGTCAAAATGTTCATTCAAAAAAAAAAAAAAAAACCCCACCAAACTCACTGCCATCGAGTTGGTTCTGACTGATACCAACCTTGGTTTTCCGAGATGGTATCTCTACAGAAGTAGATTGCCTAGTCTTCCTTCTGAGGAGTGGCTGGCGGGTATGAACCACCAGCCTTCTGGTTAGCAGTCAAATGCCTTAGGCATTTCGCCACCAGAGTTCATAAATGTTCATTAGAAGTAGTTTATATATACTTTCCTATCCACCAGCCACTCCTCGGAAGGAAGATGGGGGCAATCTACTTCCATAGTGATACTGCCTCAGAAACCCAAGGAGGGGTCGCTACGAGTCGGGTCTGACTCGACGGCAAACAACAACAACATTCACTGCTTTGTAATTCTTAGCCATCACCCTAAAACTTTCATTACCAAACACAACTCACTGCCATCGAGTCAGTTCTGACTCATAGCAACCTCCACTGGGTTTTTAAGGCTGTGTATCTTTATGGAAGCAGATAGCCTCCTCATCCTCCCATGGAGCAGCTAGTGGGTTTGAAATGCTGACCTTCTGGTTGGTAGTCAAAGGCCTATATCCACTACACCACCAGAGCTCCTTATGTCATCTTAGTACAAAAATTTGACTGGATAGAAGAAATACTTTTAATTGCTCCTTTCCCCTGATTGTTTTTTTTTCCTAAGCGCTCATTTACTTTTCAATTAATCTAGTCCAAGGTTCCAAATCTTATCACTATTTACATTTTTGGTCAGAAAATTCTTTGTGAAGGAGGAGCTGTCCTGCTCATCACAGGATGTATACCAACATTCCTTATCTAATCATAAAGCTAGTATTTATTCAATTTAGCACATGGCACGACCAAAAAAAAAAAAAAAAAAAACTTTGAAAAATCAGCCTATGAAGGTTTCTCATCTGCCCAGCATCTCTCTGAGATTAAACCATTTCTCACATGACCTGGGTGAGGATGACCCAAGACTAACCAGAATACTCACTCATACCTCTGGTCAGTGAGAGATCCATATTTGTGCCCATTCCAAAGAAAGGTGATCCCACAGAATGTAGAAATTATAGAACAATATCACATGCAAGTAAGATATTACTGAAGATAATTCAGAAACGTTTGCAGCAGTATATTGACAGAGAACTTCCAGAGGTTCAAGCCGGATTCAGAAGAGGACGTGGAACAAGGGATATCATAGCTGTTGTCAGATGGATCTTGGCTCAAGGCAAAGAATACCAGAAAGAGGTTTACTTGTGTTTTATTGACTATGCAAAGGCATTTGATTGTGTGGATCATGACAAATTATGGATAACATTGAGAAGAATGGGAATCCCTGAGCACTTGATTGTACTCATGAGGAATCTGTACCTTGATCAGGAGGCTGTCGTTCGAACAGAACAAGGGGACACTACATGGTTTAAAATCAAGAAGGGAGTGCGTCAGGGTTGTATTCTTTCTCCACACTTATTCAATCTATATGCTGAGCAAATAATCCGAGAAGCTGGACTATATGAAGAAAAACGTGGTATCAGGATTGGAGGAAGAATCATTAACAACCTGAGATATGCAGACGATACAACTTTGCTTGCTGAAAGTGAGGATGACTTAAGGCACCTACTGATGAAGGTTGAAGAATACAGTCTGCAGTATGGATTACATCTCAACATAAAGAAAACAAAAATCCTCACAACTGGACCAATGAGCAGCATCACAATCAATGGAGAGAAGATTGAGGTTGTCAAGGAATTCACATTGCTTGGTTCTACAATCGATGCCAACGGAAGCAGCAGTCAGGACATTAGACGACGTGTAGCATTGGGAAAGTCAACTGCGAAGGAACTGTATCAAGTGCTGAGGAGCAAGGATATCTCCTTGAGGACTAAGGTGCACCTGACACAAGCCATGATATTTCCAATCACCTTGTATGCATGTGAGAGCTGGACAATGAATAGGGAAGACCGAAGAAGAGTTGATGCTTTTGAGTTGTGGTGCTGGCGA